TCCCGGGAGTCCTCGGGACCCTTTGGGGATGTCTGGGGCCCAGGCTGAGTGACAAGAAAAGTGTCAACCACCGAGCCCATCCAATGGTCAGGTAGAGGAAAGCCCTACTCCCAAGGGATTCACCGCGGCTGCCAGGCCCTGAGGTCGAGGGAGGTTCTGAAGACGTGGCCACACCGCGGGGGCTGTGGATCTGTGCCCTGGCCTGCCTTCTCACCCCTCCCGGAGAAACAGCTGGGCTCCCCTTTCCTGCTAAGGCGGCGACCCAATCTAAAGTTTCCCTGCTCTCAAAAGACTGCGCCTCCGAAGGTGCTGGAAGGAGGCTGAAGTTCATTCTTCCACAGAGGCAAGCCTCATTCTTAGGAAGGGAATAAGGCAAGGGAAGGGCGTAGCAGCCTTCTTGTTGGCCCCAACCCCCTACATTGGAGCCCAAGGTGGAAGACCCCGTGACCCTTGCATCGCCTTTATTCCCTAATTAGGCCCTGAGTTGTAACCTGGGGTAGTCGGTGTAGATAATTTTAAGGTGTGTGTGTGGGGGGGTGCAGATGGGCGAGGTAACTCAGTATGATTTCCAGGGCCGCCTGGTCCGAGTGCCCCATCTCAGGTTGTCTTCCTAGCAGGTTGCATGAATGGTTATGCTCTCAGTGCCTCAGATGCATTCTTATCATTCAGCCAGGTTTGGTGATGCAAGTATTTCTACCTAATTCCGATAAAACCTAAGAGCTCCGAAGAGGATTCTCGCAAACTGGAAGCTGAGAGGTTGATGAGCAAGAAGGGGAGCTCTATTGGAGAGAAGCCTGTAGGGCTTTAAGGACTAGGGCTTAGGAGGTCGGTTCAATGTGACCTCTTACTCAAAAATGCCATTCTGGGTCCTAAGGCGGTAAGTAGCTAGAGTTCAGAGGCAGAGTTTACAAGCACAGAGATGAGAGCCTCGAGCTGCTGCTGCTGACTATCTGAGGTCCTAGCCCAGGCTCCCAGTCCCCACTCCCCGGGTCAATCCCCTGGGGGAAATGCTAGCTCAGCAAGTGCCCCTTTTGGCTTAGGACCAAAGGTCGCGGCCACCAACTTCCTGAGAAGCTGGAGGCTGAAGCCCCTTCGCTTCAGGGCAGGCCACGTGGCTGCGTCCTGCTGAAGCTGAGCTTCACTCTCAGCTGGGTCGCGGAAACAGTGCAGTGTGGAATGCCTGGGGCTGGTCCTGGGGCTCAGCCTTTGTGGGGAGATCATCCCCCATCGGAGACCAGTAAACATGGCAATGCTTTCGTCATTGTAGAGAGCTCCTGGGTTTGCCTTTCCCCGCTTTTACAGATGTCCGGAGACAATGACCACATCGTGCCAACTGGACTGCCCCGCCCGCTGCTGCCGTATTTTAAAATGACAGCCTGGCTGAAAACCAGATTCTACTTGACCTCCACTTAATTTTAATAGCTCGTAGCCAATTCTTCTCAAAATAAAGCCACTCCTGCACTCTTGTATTTGCATCTTCCACCGTCAAGAATTTATCTCTTGGAAACCAAACATGGGAGAAACTTTACCAAGCGTCCTGTTTTCTAAATATTCGAATTGCAGAGTATCCCGCAATTATCTTTTAGAAGGTGACTGTGGAAATCTCTAGACATATCCATTTTTAGCTGACTTGAGTTCCCCCTTTCAACCTCAAAAAATTATTTTTCCTTTAGCTGAGAATTAAATATAATAAAAAAGAACGAATGATAGGAACCTTTTATTCCTTTGGAGGCAAGGCTAAGGAAGATAGGGAGGAGGGAGACGAAGTGGGAGGCTTATTTCGGAACGGAAATGTTGAGAGAAAGGAAAGAGTCAGGTGTGGAGAAACAGTTCACCTCTCTGCCTAGCCAGGATCATTAGCAAGTGCACCTTTCTCAACCCTTCCAATCCGCAAGTCAGCCCTGGGCTGCTCTGTGTTGGACCTCCCACCCCCACCCCTGGGGGCTTAGGCAAAGCTCTTGAGCCAGAGTGTTTAGAAGGACGTTTGAAATGAATGACCTAGTCAGAGCCATCTCTGACTTGGGATCTTGTGAGCAGGGTCACAAGGAATCATTCTAGTTGTGAGTAGAAATTTCTCTTGAACTCATTCGGAGGTGCCCAGCATGGAAGTACTTGTTAAATTGGGCTGGGATTTACTAACTGAGCCAAAGGTGGTATCTTTCAAGGAGAATCAACTCAGATAATCTGTGTGTGCAAAGGGTGACAACCTTTTGTATCTGTTGGGTACAGTTTCTTTCACGTTTTACTTACTGACTGTCCTGTAGTTGCTGAATAAAGCTGAGTCCTCTATTTGCACACAAGTCTGAAACAATGCTGAATATCTCATCGATGTGACAGTGATTGTGATTTACACAGTGTTTTAGCTTGACATATTTTCAAACCGTGGTTTTGGTCTTTTATGTAAAAACAGTTTTACATATCCCCTTTAAGGTGATGTCAATGTGACATCAGCTGGGGCCTTGGAAATGATGGGTTAATTAGGATCTAACTCACTTTGTCTACCTCAGAAACAGGCAAGATCCCCCAAAACGTTCATTGAAAACAACAAATGCCTTTTGCACTTGGAGATTTCACAAGAGCTTTGCTCTCAGCCTGCAAACTTGGCATGTTAACAGTTATTCCTGAGAAGTGCTTATTAAAAGGAAGAGAAAAAAAACTAGAAAAGGACAGAAAACTCATACTGGGCACACACTGCATCTCTGTAATTATCCTTACACTTTCATTGTGCACTGGCATTTTTTTTTAAGTCAGTTACAAATACTTAGGGATCTTAGATGAGGTTGAGCATCTTAGATTTCATCTTGTTTTGGATATTGTACAGGAATTTCCCAGTTTGGTATTTCAAAGAGATAATTTTATTACAATGTAATAAAACTCTACATCAGCACCAGTGACTTGAATCACTCTTGGTTTGCAGACAGCCTTGGTGATTTTTGAGCATCTTTGTCCAACTGGTGACATTCTAATTCACGAATCTAATTGATTCTACTTTTATCTTTCTAAATTTCTCTATAACATGGAACTAAAGTTATACAATTTGGAAATTTCAATCCGGAAGTACAGAGGAAAAATATAAAAAGCATAAGAAACCGAAGGACTCCTCAAATGAGCAAATAAAAATGGAAATCGGTGTTAATCATTAGAATATCTGAGATTTCATTTGATATGAGGATGGGATTAAGACTTGTATAACCTGGCAAGACATAGAGTCCTACATTTTCCCTTTGATTTGATTTTATTCTTCTGAGGCTTATAGTAAGTGCAGCTTGGAAAGTTGGTATGGAATGTCACTGCTGGTTGACCTGATTAAATCCATACTCCCTAACTCCTTAGTTATTTTCAAGTTGCTCTGATAAGTGAAGAAAACCCCCTATGAAATGCAAAACTCCTGGGGACGTCTTACCACGATGCCAGTCCTGCTGTATACTATTTACGTGTCTTAAGCCATCTGAAGCACAGCTATTTAAGCAGCAATCAGACAATTTATGCTTTTTTTTTTCAACTTAGTTTTCCTTTTTGGTTACCCACAACTTTTACCTATCTTCTCCTTGGACTTCCCCCACCAACACATGGCTTTTCCTGAACGCTTAAATCCCATTCACATTATTGGATTTGGTTCTTCCTGAAGAAAACATGTTGTTTTTGCCAGTGACCACAAGAGGACACAATTTCCCAGCAACTTTGCCTAAAGTTTACAGAAGGAAGAATAACACCATAGCAAAATAAGCAATCAATGAATGCCATTTTAGAGATGTCTAGTTATTCGGTGTCACTTTTCTTTATTTTTACAAGCATAAAAAAAAGTTAATCTTCAACCTTTAGGTGTTTTATCTATTCTCCCCTTATTGTGAAACTTGAAGGAAATCAAACATTTATGGCAAATATGAAAACTTTAGTGTTATTGTTAAGGAAAAATGTTTATATTCGACAGAATTTGTGCAAAAGCCTTGATGACCTCTATTTTTAGAGTAATGTTTAATAACCAAAAAGTTTTAAGACTCACATGAGCATTTCAAAATTCTAAGCTGGGTGTGTTGGTTGGTGTATGCTTAAAATCCGAATACTTTCAAGGTGAAGATGGAAGGATTGGTTAGAGGTGAAGGCCAGTCTGGGCTATGTGGTGCATACCAGGCCAGCCACTGAACTGTAGTGAGACACTGTCTCAACAAGATTTTCCCTTGAGTGAATTTGCAATGTCTTCACATAGGAAGGTACATTAAAACTGTTTTTATAACTTGTTAAATATGTTTGAATGCAGGTGTTAAATACAATTATTTTACAGTCTTTGGTAAACTTGTTCCTTTTCTTATTTCCTTCCTTCTCTGGAAATGACCTGAGACCAGATATCTATATAGATATAGACACATATCTATAATAATTCCTATACTCCCGAAATGGAGACAAGAGGGTTGTAAGTTTAAAGATACCTTGGGAGAACAAAGGGAACCCAAGGTATTTTTTAATTTTTTAAATTTAAACTCTTTAATTCCTACTCATATTTACATATCCATCATCTCCCATTCCCTCGCCTTCCCATCCTTTCAAGTTCCCCACCACCTCCCCAACCCATCCCCAACTCATCCACAGGGATATTGAGGCCCTCCACCAGGGATCTTCAAGTCTGTCATATCATTTGGGAGAAGGTCTAGGCCCTTCTTGCTGCATGTTGGCTGCAATAGTATCCCTCTACAGGGAATGGCTCCCAATGTCCATTTGTGCTCTAGGGTTAAAGACTGGCTCCTCTGTTAGAGGTCCTATAGACTGTCTTGGCCTCCTAGCTGGCACCCACATTCAGAGCACTTGGTTTGGTCCAATGCTGTTTCCCCAGCTTTATGACTAGGGTCTCCATACTTTCACTAGGTCAGGTCAACTGTTTGCAGATTTCTCCTTTGTTCATCCCTCCTCCCTCTCCACAACTGGATTCCAGGAGTATGGTTCAGTGCTTAGCTGTGGGTGTCTGTTTCTGCTTCAAACACTGCTTGGATTCTTAGTTGGGGACATCCATGTGGATCCCCTAACATTTCCTCTGTGTCAGACCTCTCTCCATACCTGTACTGTCTCCCTCTATCAAGGCATCTCCATTCTTGTCCTCCTGTATTCCTCCCCTGTTTCAGTCTTCTTATTTTCCTTCCTCCCCCTTCCCCTTCTTCCCTTTCCACTTCCTGTGTGTTGGTGTGTTTCCATGACATCAGGGCTGGAGAATCCTGAGTCACTCACTGTTAAACTCTTACTTTGTGTTTGTGTTTTCCTACAGATACATACCTCATAATATTACTGATTCTCTGCTCTAAGTACTGAGCAATGGAACAAAGACCTAGAAAAAGAAAAAAAAAGAGAAGAGGAAAGCCAATCAGAAAAACAAAGAAATTCAGACAGATGGTGCAGAATCTGGAAAGAGAAGCTAGAATGACAGGTAAGGCAAAGGAAGAAGAAAGAAAAAGACTGAAGCTTCCATGTGGAAGGCGAGTGCAAAATTCCCAAGTAACAAGGAAGGAATCGATGCACTGATACAGTGAAACACCAGCAGTATTTAAGTAGATTTGTATTTGTTCAAATGTATAATTTCAAGTATTTTCCCAGCCTTTGGTAGAGACATTTACTTAAGTAAAAATCCAATCATTGTTGAAGACATAATAAGAAAGTAAAAGCTGGGCATTGGTGGCATACACCTTTAATCCCAGCTCTTGGGAGGCAGAGGCAGGTGGATCTCTGTGAGTTTGAGGCCTGCTTGGTCTCCAGAGTGAGTGCCAGGGTAGGCTCCAAAGCTACACAGAGAAACCCTGTCTCAACGCCCCCCCCCAGAAGAAAGTAAAGACAGGTTGAAAGGCTATGGAACTTATTGATATTCTTCATTTACTGGGTATGGTTTCTCCTATATTAGAATGAACATGGTAATATGTTGTCATTACTGGATCTCAAGCCACATTTATTTTGAGGGAATGCTGATGTCATTACTTCATTGAAAATTCTGTTAACTGTGATATAATTTCAGAATGAGCATAGCAGTTGCTTAGACCCCTAGGCCCTTGGTTATTTTCTGTTGGACCTGCACTACAGGAGCAAAGCTGGATGTTTCTTCTGTAGTGAATGCAGTTCAATATCTTCACCTTCCCAGACAGAGCCTCAGTAGATGAGGCTTGCTCTCATTCAGTCTGCTGGAGAACATCAGACACTGTCAGGTCCTGGCTCTCTTAAAGGTATATCCTAGACTCGAATTCTGTTTCTAGCTGCAGTGTTGGTTCCTCTGCAGCTGTTGATGACTCTAATTATATTAGGTGCTCTTAGAAGATTTAATCCGTAATGTCAAGCAAATCACAGAAGGATGGAAAACAAAATGTGATTCATGTAAATGAGGAAGTAAAGAAGTTCTGATAGATCTTTGCAAAGAGTGCTGAGAAAGATCCCGGAGCCCAGACTGAGAGGGTAAGGATGATTCGTGCATTTGGGGATTTCCTTAATGCACTGGCAGCCGCCTTAGGAAGGCTTTCCCAGAAAGGTGAAGAAAATCTCAGAGGTCAAAGTGACATACAAAAGTTGTGACACGGGACCTATTGAGTCAATTTGAAATGTTCTGCATGAAGGGGGGATCTCCAGCACTGTTGCTGGGTATTCTAGGGTAGGCTGTGGGCAGGAAGGACTACATGAGTATGTGGGTGGCTTTCCCCCTTTCTTTTCTTTATCAGCCTTTCCTACTGAGTGTGTGCTTGAGAGGTCCAAAGTGAAGGATAAGCAAGGATGAGGTGTGACTAGAGCTGACATGCAGCTGCTCTACAGAGACAAGGCAGGTGCACTTTTGTCTACAGCTGGGCCTTGGCACAGCTGGACAAGGCTCTGCTTTTACATTTCTTACTTAGGCCTGGAGTCAAGTTAGACAGACTGGGTGCCACTATCAGAGGGCCTATTTGTGACCCTGTGCTTAAGCAATTTCCTCATCAATAACGATTTGTCATTGAGCTTATGGTTATTTGATGCCCCTTGGTCTTCCTCTCGCTTCTTACTTTGTGTACCCACAGCTGTTGCAAAATTGTATAAAAGACCCAGGGACTGATACTGGGGTACAAGCTTCAAGATGAAGACCAGAAAAGCAAAGAGGCTGGTCACTAGATCTTACTCTACCTCAGTCTGGAAGTCAATCCTGGCTCCACCAAACCTTAGACTGCTGCCTCTCCTTGTGGCTGGAGAAAGCTGAGATTTCAATGTCTTCCTATCCTCAATGTGTCTGGATAATGTATAACTGATACTATCACCACGCCAAGCATTTTTCACATTTCAATGTGAATGCTAGAGTGGCAAATACCAGTACCATGTTAATAAGTTGCCAATGATCTATTTAAAATGGGCCATAGGGAGGAACCACCATCTGCCTCAATTCAAATTGCTTCATTGCCTATATTACTCATGTCTGGCACAAAATTTTAAGCCCAACTGGCTTCAAGCAGTGTCCACAACTAGAAGAAAGCTCATTGTCATTAGTTTGGAAAATGCTCTCAGGTTCCAGACGTGAAAAAGTCATAGAGTTAGAAACAGGCAGAGAGTTTTTCTAAAAAAAAATCATTACAATACTTTCTATTCAGACAAGGTATTTAGGAAATCTTTCGACTGAAATCAGCATTTCTCAAATCATTCAATTGCTTTCTTTCTATGAGATGATATGTTGAATGGTATCTCATTACTCCCAAACTCAGTTCATATCCATCAGAAGCCTATATGCACGTGACCCTGCTTTGTATCTATTCATCCTTCAAAACTAAAGAGTGGCTGAATGTCTTTCAGGAAGACTACAATGTTTGTTTATTATCCTATTTATAAGTATCAATTTCTGCTGAAGAAGACACACAGGATGAGACATAAGATTGGATACAGAAACAAGTAGCTTCAAGAGCATCTTAAACAGTGGGAGCTGTGTATGGTGACATATTATTTATGATTTATTAAAGCTTGCCTGAGGATTCAGAAAGCAAAGTCATCCTCAAGCTATAGAGATCAAGCAGTGATGATACACACCAGCAGCCAGAAGCTAGAAGGTACAAACATTTGATCCTAGGACTCAGATTAGAGGTAGCCAGATCTCTGTGAGTCTTAGGCCACCCAGATCTACACAAGATTGATCCAGCCCTAAAGAGAAACAACTCACACAAAGATGATCTCAGCACCTGAGATATCACATACCTTTAATCCCAGCACTAGATGGGTATAAAACATAAGAGCTGGCAGATCTCTGTGAGTTTGAGACCAGCCTGGTCTACAAGAGCCAGTTCTAGGAAACCCTCCAAAGCCACAGAGAAACCCTGTCTTGAAACCCCCCAAAAAGAAAGCTTGCAGTTCTAGGCATCAGTGTTTCTGCTATTTCTCCAAGTGTCTCCACATCATTGGTCTGTCCAGGCCTTGCAACATTTTTTACTCAATATGACTGAAGTGGCTTGGTTCTGCTACGAAATTCATTCTAAACAGAGGGCAGTGAGATAGTGAGCAAATAGGAACTCAGTGGTCTTGTCTCAGTGTTTATTGGAAGATATTAGAGTTCTCAGATGTCCCTATCGAATACAGATTATGCTTTGATTTCACTATCAGATATGAACTCAGAGCAAAGCACTAGTTAGCAGTCTCCTTCCCTATAATGAGCCTGTTTAAATGTGGTTATGCTTAGAGTATTCATCTCCCCATGGACTAGGAATCATATACAGTGTAGAATGGGAAAACAAGATATCCACGATGATGAAAAGTAGTCTCCATGGAAATTTAACTTCTATTCATGGAAGCATTTGCTTCCCAATTCTATGACTTTAGATTCGAAAGCATCCCTTATTCGAAGTCTGAAGTGACTCAGTAAATACATCTGACCATGCTCACTCACTTTGTTTAAGTCATTAATAAGTCAGTACCATATTTTGTGTTATAGCACTAGAAAGATACCACAGAGGCAACTATTGTGGAGGAGAAAAAGAACTACAACAAAGTTTGAACAGTCTATCAATCTACCACTTTATGTTCTTTTCAGAGAAGAAGATAACGTCATTGATTGTGGGCTAGGAAAGGAAGGACATCTTTCAACTGTGAAGTTGAAACAAAACAAAACAAACAAACAACCTTATACTATGCACAATAAAAAGTAGTAAAAGTTGGAATTAAATCCCAAGTGAAGTGTCCTCTTCTAAATGGCTTTGGTGGTTAGAATAAGAGAGTAGTCCTTTAAGCCCTTAAACACCAATTTTGCAATGACACTGATACTGACAAAGGAAGCAGACCATGTCTGTGACACCCATGAGCATCTTCTTGTGAGAACAAAGATCCAGGTTAAGAGGCCATTGTTACAATCTAGGTGAGAAATGGTTCTGACTTGAACTTGAGTGGCAGTTGGTGGAATTGGAGTTTTTCCAAATGTGGTTAGATTCTCTGTGTATTTTGAAGTCAGAGCCAACAGTATCCACCAAAGATAAACCGTGTCAGGGAGAAGAATCAAAGGCAACTCAAAAGTTTTGATCTGAGCAATAGAAATGGGGAGCTGGCAATCACTGAGATGGAGAACGTTGTGGATGGAACACATTTCAGGGAGACGTTTCAATTTCAGATATGTTAAATTTGAGTTGTCAGCTAGAAATCCAAGTGGGATTGTTGGGCAGGCAGTTGGATATGTGAGTCTGAAGTTTGTGAGAGAGGTCTGGACTAGAGAGAAAATTTGGAATTCATTAGCATAGAAATAGCATTTTAAGCTATGCAACTGGAAGAGTATCATGGGAGTGACTGTTCTGAAGAAAAGATGAGGTTTAAAAATACTAGAATACTCTGATACTACCATGGAAAATATAAAGCAGAAGAGAGTCATAGGAATTCATAAAGAGATTAGAATTTTTAGCTGGATAGTGCTCAAGAATTAGAGAAAATTCACTTTTCTAAGAACAAGTGAGAACAAATTTAGAAATAATAATAATAAAAGATTTAATATGAAAAGTTATTCACAGTTAGAGAACTACAATAGCATTCATGAATTAGAACACTATACCATATCCTGGGTCAAAATGGTGAAAACATATCCATAGCCATAAATGTTCCCAGAATACCATTAAAGATTAATTAATCTAAAGGTATCTAGATAAATAAAATTATCTACAAAAATGAAAATCAAGCAGCTTAGGTGTTCTCTGAGCAAATGCTAAATGTGTGTTGTATTCCAGTGTTGTACCCCAGCCAAGATTACACAATACTGCATCAGTAACAAGTGTGAAAGAAAAAACTTTTAAAAAATCAATATTTTTCGATCATTGGGAAAAATGCTTCCAAGGACCGTGGCAAGCAGTCAAACAAACAAAGATAGAAATTAAATTCTAACCAAGTGTTAAAACAGACATTAAATGCAAACGAAACACAACATTTTTGGAAAGAAGATCTTATAAAATATTTACCTATAATTGTGTACTTAACTCCTTCAGGCTGAGGAAGGAACAGGAAGATATGTATTTAAAGTAAGGTTAATAAAGAAAGAAAACATGCAGAAAGACTTAGAAGATTTAGCAGCAAAATATGCACAAATTGTCACATTATCATATATATTTTGTGGTGGTAAATCAGATATTGACCCTAAGAAGTCTTATAGAAAATATGAGAAAATATATAGTGATATTTATATTCCTAATCATTGGTGAGATTTATTTCCATATGATTAGATTCTGTTCTTAAAATATCCTAAGAGGTCAGTAACAAAACTTTTAGACGTGATAAGGAGCTTTAGTGATCAAAATAACAAACTCCAATAACTTTTCTCTATACCAATAAGGGTCATATATAGTTAAAATTTAGATTGTGTGTGGTTGTACCTTTAATCCCAGCACTTGGGAGGTAAATGTAGGCAGACCACTGTGATTTGGGGGCTAGCTTCATCAGCATAGCATGTTGCCAGTCAGTTCCAGCTATACAGAAAGACTCTGTGTCAAGAAACCAAAAAAAAAAAAATCCACCTTTTGGGATGGAGAGAGAGAGAGTTCCTAAGTTAAAAGTACTTTCTGCTTCTGCAGAAGGCCTAGGTTTGAGTCCCAGGACCTGCACTGTGGCTCACAATACCAGTTCCATGAGATCTGATACACTCTTAAGACGTCGTAGGGCCCCTGATCACATGTGATATACATATATACACACAGTGCACATACATACACATCAAATAACTAAATATTTGGAACTGGAGAGATGGTTAAACAGTGAAGAGCCCTTGTTCCTCTTCTACAGGACATGGGATGGATTTCTTGCACCCAAGTAATTACAGTAACAACACATCCGATGGCTTTTTCTGAATTTCATGTGGACCAGATATGTATATGATAACTAGACATATATGCAGGCAAAACATAGAAACACTTAAAATAGAAATGATTTTTTTAAATGGAAAAAAATCATGAAAACAATCCTATTCTCATATTGTCAAAAGAGAAGGACAGACAAACCCAACCGAGCGGGTGAGAGACCCACATGAAGAACACTAAGGAAAGAAAGAGAAAGCTCTAGAAGATGGATTTTCTAGAAGTAAAACTGTGAAAATAACTGTACTGCCAAAAGCAGTTTCAGATCAATTCCTACTAAGTTCCCAATGGCATAGATAATAGAAATAGAAAACAAACCCTAAAGTCCTTACAGAAATATAACAGATGCTGAATAGCTAGAGCATTCCCAAAGAAAAAGAGCAATGTTTCAAGCACCCTAATACCTCATATCAAATATACTACTGAGGTAGACACTGGCTGCAACACAAAAATACATGGATTGTCCAGGTGTTGGTGGCTCATGCCTTTAATCCCAGCACTTGGGAGGCAGAGGCAGGCGGATCTCTGTGAGTTCGAGGTCAGCATGGTCTCCAGAGCGAGTGCCATGATAGGCTCCAAAGCCACACAGAGAAACCCTGTCTCAAAAAACAACAAAAAAAATTACACGGATTAAGGGAATATAGCAGATCCATGCAGCTACTGCCATCTGATTCTCAACAAAGAGGCTAAGAGCATACTCTGGAAAAAGGACAGCCTCGTTAACAGATGTGCAAGTAAGACTGGAAATCCACACATGGAGGAATGAAACCAAATCCCCATCTCTTCCATCGTGTGAAAATGAATTCCAAACAAGTCAAAGACTTTCGTGTAAGACCTGAAACTTTCCAACCACTGGAGGGAAACAGGGAAAATACTTGAAGGTCTAGACGTAGGCAATGACATTGTGAACAGGACTCCAGTAGCTAAGCAAATAGTAGCAGGAATGAACAAGTGAGATTGTATGAAATTACAAAGATTTTGCACAGCAAAGGAACCAAGCGGAGCAGTGATTCAGTCTGCAGAATGGGAGTGAATTGTTGATAGCTATACACTGACAGGGAACTCATATCCAGATGGTGTGCAATCTAAGCAACAAAAACCAAAATAACAATATACAATTCATAAATAGAGAAACAAACTAGAAACAATTCAAAAGAATATGTGAAAAGGGATCTTTTAAATAGGAATGTGATTTAGGGCCATTATGGAAAACAACTTAGTCATCAGGGAAGCAATAATCAAAACTATGCTGAGATTCTGTGTTACACAGATCAACATTTCTGTCATAGGGAAAACAAAAACAAAACAAAAGGCACTAGCAAGGACACGGGAAGGCAGACACCATGCCTACACACACACTTTCTGATTATCTAAGGGGATTACACACCAAGAATGTGAGAAACTATTGGGCAAAACATGACATATAAGTTTGGGTGGATTTCACTAAACACAGTTCCACTGCAGAAAGTAAAGTTAAGACAGACAACAGCACAGATACTCTGTCATGCTTTATATTTCAAATTAATTTGATTTCACCTTCAAAATTACTCTTGAAAGTGCTATTGAGGCCATTGGGAGAAAACATCTTCTGTACTTCTTTAATGAAAATGTAAATATGGTTCTTCTATGGAAATCAGAATGTCGGTGCCCCCAACACTACTCCAATGCAACTGGCATATGATTCAGTGATATCATGTCTGGATATATTATATAAAAGTTTATCACACCACGAAGACAACGTACATATCCAGGTTTCTTACAAACACCATTTATTGTAGTGAGGATATAGGGTTTACCTAGGTGCCAACAGTGAGTACAGAAAACAAAATGCAGCATAGGGACAATGGAGTATTATTCACATGAAAATAATCCAAGTATATTATTGTCAGGGACAATTAATAGAAATTATTGGGTAAAGTGAAATTAGCTAGATCCATAAAGATAAATACTCCATGTCTTCTGTCATAGGGAGAATCTAGATTTTTTTTAAGGCATGAAGTTTGAAGAAGGATTATTTGAGAAGAGGAAAGCGACCAGTGAGAGTGGGGCAAGGGGAAAAGAGAGAAAAATAGGGTGAAAAAATTATGTACCCTAAATACATGTAGGAAAATATGGTCAAGAAAGCCATGCTTTCCCCAATATATGCTAATACTTTGTGCTAGAAACAAAAGGGAAAGAGGAATCATGGTATTTATAAGGAAACACACAAACATGGGTACACACATTCACATAGTCACAAGCACACATGCTGTCCAGAGGAAGACCAGCTATTACTGGTGTGTGAATTGAAAGGGTTTTTCTCCTTAGGCTCATGAGGAAAGAAACACCAAATATCTGAGCAACAGCTATAACTTGACAAAATATATATTACATTATTTTACAGTTGGTCTTTTTGAAAACATACTTTCATTTACATAGGTTTAAGATATGATTTCCTGAAAATCATTTCATGAAAGAAAATTTTCACTCTGCTGGTATGGATAAACATCTAAAACAATATATATTCTAATGATCTTCAGAAAATACATTTTTAAGCTAAGAAATCTAAAGTTGTTGAGAAGGGTATTGAGATTCTTATAATCTGAAACTTGATCATAAAATATGATCAGTTAGGATGTAAGTGAAGTGATATTCTCTCAAGAGAATCACTAAGTCCTTGAAAACCTTAAATGGAAAATATACTCAGCTAGAATGCTTTCCTGCCCCAATTGGAGACAAGGAGTAATGTTAGTCACCATCAGTGACAGTTCAACAGTAGTAACCTGAATCCCTGTTGCCAAGGAGAGAAGAGTCACTACATACATGATTTAAGTGTGTTAAACTTATCACTATTTTATATCATTAGATAGTTGTCCCCCTCTGAATAATCAGAATAGTGCTTTGTGAGGTAAACCTTGGGTACAGAAATGAACTGAGGTGTGCAGCAAACTGGAGAGGGGAAAGGCCATTGCAAGTAACACTTTCCTTGTGCCAATTTCTTTTTATTATTATTATTATTATTATTATTATTAGTTCAAATTAGGAACAAACTTGTTTCACATGCCAATCCCTTCTCCCTCTCTCTCCCCTCACCCTATCCCTATTCCCCCACCCCTAACCTACCCCCACCCCATCCACCCTCCACTCCCTAGGCAGGGTAGGGACCTCAGTGGGGGCTCCGCAAAGTCCACCACATCATCCTTTCAATTTCAATGTGACCTTTCCAGCTGGATGCATAAATTAATCATCTGTGGGATTTGCTATAGTAATGGAGAGGTGACATCAGTCACCATTTCTTCAGGTTCAGTTCACTCAAAAGAGTGAACTGGTACTGGTATGGGTTGATAACTAGCAGTCTTAACTACTAAACCTGGCAACAGGCCCTTTGTTTAATGAGCTCTGAAGCTAGGATTTAGTCCTTTGCCTCTGCTCACAATCTGCATGTTAAATAGCTATGGGACCATTTTATTGAATCTATTATTGTTGGTTTTTCTGCCTGTCTAAGTTGATAAGCATTTAAGGTAATGCAGAATTTATATTTTAACTGTATTTCTTCTATCCTCATAACTCAAATGAATAATTATCCAACATCTCCTATTCAG